AGGATACAGGAAGCAGCTACCTGGTCCTCGGACGTAGTGGACACAGAGGCAGCCCTGGGGAGTACAGTGTGGGGCCTGATTATTCTGTGGGTTCAACACCATCCATAGTGTGGACCCACACGCATCTCACTCCCCAGAAGAACAAAAATATTTACGATGGAAGGACCCAGGCAGGGCAGGCAGGAGCTCAAAGCGCCCAGCGCAGGCCTTGGTTCCAGTTCCAACTCCGATTGGTCCGCTAAACACCGCCTGGCATGACTCAAAACTGACAATGAAGGAAATAAGCTGCAATCACCTTTCAAACACATTGCTCAGAGACACGCGGGCCAGCCAGCATGTTTTATTTTTTTTTATGTAGGAGTATTGCTATTTATTCATCCATTGATTAGGCTGATTGAATTGGGCATGAACTCCACCTTATTTTTTTATTCCTTTTTTATAAATTTATTTATTGTATAACTGGGAGAGTTACAAAGCTTTTGGGTTTAAGTCTCGGTCATGCAATGAAACACCCGTCCCTTCCCCAGTGCCCATTTTACACTACCAAAGACCCCAGGATACCTCCCACCCCACACCCTCCCCCTACCTGTGGGGCAGATGATTTCCACATGACTCTCTCTCTCTACTTTGATTACATTCAATATTTTGACACCAGACCCACCATTATAATTTGGAATTCTACCCCATCACTCAGGGCGTTCGCCTTACAAGCGGCCAACATGGCCGACCCGAGTTCGATTCCTCCGCCCCTCTTGGAGAGCCCGGCAAGCTACCGAGAGTATTCGATATGCCAAACACAGTAACAACAAAGTCTCCAATGGAGACGTTACTGGGCCCGCTCGAGCAAATTGACGATCAACGGGAGGGCCTTTACCTTTACCTACCCCATCACTCAGATCTGCTGAAAAGGCAAGAGTAGACTATTTGTTTTCTTTTGATGATCATAAATAACATATGATGTCATGCGGCCGCAGTGGTGGCCATGTAGTTTTGGGATTCAGAAATTTTAGCAATTAAACCCAGAAGGATTTCTGCCAAAACCTGCTATGTTCTGAGATTTGTTCCTGAGTCTCTTGGATCATGGCTGTTAAGCAGGTTTATCAGGAGCCAAGAGAAGCCTTCTGTGGGCTGCAACTCAGGAATCTCGTTAAGGAGTGGAGGAAAAGGCTCCCCATGCAGTGTGGCCCCATCCCATGTGGCCCCATCCCGTGTGGTCTCCCCATCCCATGTGACCCCGTGTGTGTCATCACTGTGGGCCCAAACCTGATCATCCTATGGCCTCTGGAGGATGGCGGCCACCGAGCTGCCAGAGGGAACAGGCCAAGGCACGAAACCTCCCACCTAGGGTGACCCGGCGCCGGTCACCGACTGCAGGGACTGGATGCATTTCTGCCAAAAGCCACTGGTTCCCGGGATTTGTTTCTGAGTCTCTGGGATCATGGCCATTAAGCAGCTTGATCAGGGGCCAGAGAGGCCGTCTGTGGGTGGCTACTCAGGGCCTCGTTGGGGTGGGGAGGAAAGGGTCAGCTCCACTCCCCTCCCATGAGACCCCTCATGTCTCATCTCTGCAGGCCCAAACCTGACTGTCAATGGCCCCTGGAAGTCGGCAGCCACTGAGCTGCCAAGGGGGAGCAGGTGAAGGGATAAAACCCTTTCCCTTCTGACGTGGTCCGGTGCCATTCCATCTCTGCCAAAAACCACTGGGTTCCGAGATTTGTCTCTGAGTCTCTGGGATCATGGCTGTTAAGCAGTTTGATCAAGAACCAGAGAGACCTTGCCGCCAATTATATAGCTGAGCCAGAGGTCGTTTGTGGGTGTGTCTCCCACATACCTAAATTTTGGCTGTTAACTTTCTTGGTAAACTTTGTCCCAAGTTTTTGGGTTCTGGCCAAAGGCACAGCAGCAATTTTGGTGTATCTGGAAGTCTGAAGGTGCCATCGGGCTGCTGATGCACTCGCCTCACAGGTACAGATTGATCTGCTGGCGGCACCACACCCCCTCAGCAGGAATGTTTTAAAAGTGTACAGTGCCTACACCAAATGGAATCCCAGTGACCAAGAGCTTCCACAAGAAAGCCCCCCACCCCGAGGTATGGGGCTTCTAGGACCCGGGCTGGCCTTCCCAGGAAACCCACCTGTGGGAAGCTGACCAAGGGCCTACGTGCCTATGCTATGTATGGTTATCTTGGCCTACGTGACCCTGAATAAGCGGGTCCTGACTTGCGCAAATCTGATGCTCTGTCTGCTCTGACTGCAGCCTATGCATTTCTTGAGCTATGTATGGTTATCTAAAAGAAAACATTTGTCACAGCTAGCCCAAGAATAAGAAGTAACTGACACTGACTAACCAAGCATATAAAACATGTAGACTTTGTAACTCTCCTAACCATATATGATATGACCTAGTGATGTAATTGCCTTCTGTGAAGTAAGCATAGTTTTCTGCGTCACAAGGTATATAATACCCCTGCTGCCCTGAATAAAGTGCTGTCCTGTCCTGTCTGTCCTGTCTGCTGTCCTGTCTGCTCTGTCCTGTCCCTTTTTCTCTCTGCTTCTAAACTGCATTATGTCTCTTGTGTCTTGTGTTCATTCGGTTGGTCTCTCCTTGCACCTATGGACCTTAGGGCCACCTCAGCGGGGTGGAGGAGTGGTCTGGCGGGGACCCCCTGCACCCACCTGTCCAGCTGACGGGCTGTCATGCCCACAATTTCCCTCCATGTGCCATCTGAGGGCACCAACAGCCCCGGCCCAGAGATTCCCTGTTGAATCCCAAAATGGATTAGTGCCATACAGAGATGCCTCTAGAACCATTTACAGTCTAGAAATGTATATTTACAATCGCGACCGTGCGTGCTCTCGTGATCTTCAAAGTGAGCAATGGAAAATAAATGATCTAGCGTCTGCCCTGGCAGGTAGGCTTGAGTGGTAGTGGGAAATTTCGAGCAAAACCTAATGGCCAAAACGAGAGGGAAATTATCTGCCATCGAGGCCGGGTGAGGACTGGGATGTGGGTGGTGGAGAATGTGCACTGGTGGATGGATGGGTGTTCCATCATTGTATGGTTGAATCTCAAACGTGAAAACTTTGTAACGCTATCTCACGGTGATATAATTTTTTTAAATTTTTATTAGTCCTCATGAAGGTACCGGCAGAGGAACAAAGGCATGTGGGTCCCGGGGCTAAGATCTCCAAGCCTGCTCTGATCGGGGCTGAGCATCCTCCACCTAGATTCTTCATCTTCCAGTAGACAGGGGTCACACCAACCACCTGACCCCCTGGCACCGTGTAATCCCATCAACGGCCAAGACCCAGAGACTATAAAACCCAGCTCCCGGAAGCACGCAGCCGCATTTGTGGCCACACAACATCTCATTATCTCATTCTTACTTTGGACAACCTGGCAGGCTACCAAATGTAACCTGCCCACAAGGCAGAGTCTGGCAAACTCCCCGTGACGTACCCAATATGCCAAATACCAGTAACAATGCTGGGTTTCATTCTCCTAACCCTGAAAGAGCCTTGAATATGGCAGCTTTTAAAATCTCAGGGCTAGGACGAAGGAGACGTTACTGGGGCCTGCTCGAGGCAATCGATGAACAACAGGATGTTTGTGATCAAGATCATGATTTATTAGTGAAACACCATGAGGTAACAGTTGTAGACTTACAAATTTTTGTGCTTGGGTTTCAGTTATACAATGATCGAGTACCCATAAGTAATGTGGAGCTCATCCCCAATTCAATCAGCTTAATCAATGGCTGAACAAATAGCAGTACTCCTACATTATATAAATAAATAAATAAATAAATAAATAAATAAATAAAAGTGTTCAGCAATGTCCCAGGTGCTCTGAAAAGCAACTTCGGGCACAGAGCGCCCTGAGCAAGAAGTGAAGCCAAGGAAGCTGTCGATCCGGGAACTGAGCTCCGAACACTGGAAGGTCTCTGAGAGCAGGACCGGAGGCTGATCAATCGCCAATCTCCATGATCTAATTGATCCTATTGATGTCGTGTGGAGGACCTGTGGGTGACTCGCTCCGTGGGTGCACAGAGGCTGCAGCTGAGCCTGTGGCTTTCTGGACGAAGCCTCTATATCGGCTTATCAAGTTTATGGATCTTGTCAGAGCACCAGTCCTTGACTTTAGAGATATTTATTTCCGCTTTTCCGTCATATTTCATAGCTCCTTTAATTGGCATTTCCTTCTGTCTGCTTACACTGGATACTTTGCTCTCCTCCTTCTCCCACCCCCGTTTCCTGACGTGGACGTTCTAAGAGCAGGCATCAGACGTTCTCGTGCGTTTTTATCCCCTTCTGCCTCTGATCATGGCTTCTGTTCCTGCGTCCCTCAAACATGGATAAGTTGGTCTTTTTTTTTTTTTTTTTGCCTTTGGGTCACACTCGGCGTTGCACAGTGGTTACTCCTGGATTTTACACTCAGGAATCTTCTCCTAGCGGTGCTCGGGGGACCCTATGGGATGCTGGGAATCGAACCAGGGAGAGCCGTGTGCAAGGCAAACGCCCTACCCACTGTGCTATAGCTCCAGCCCAAGATAAGTAGTTTTTGTCTCTGAATTCAAGGCGAGGGGAGAAGCTGCAGCTCTCGGGGGCGTTGCTGGCCTCCCAGGGCCCCGTGGGTGGACAGACTGACCCTTCTCTTCTTTTTGCAGGCAGTGGACAGTGTAGCAGCAGGTGACTCTCCAGCCCGGCAGTGCTTCTGCCCCTGTGTCCCTCCCGCACCCTTGGCCCAGGACAGTGGCCGGCTCTTGTCCTCGTCCCCCCACACACAAGCATCTCGTACCCTCCATCCCTCCATCCTCCACGTCTGCTGGACGTAAAGCGACTCTGCATGCAAGTCCTCACCCGTTCTTTCACTTCTGTCCTGAGGACGGTGCTGGCCCAGCCCAGGTGACCAGAAGTCTCAGCCGCTGTGGCATGGATCAGGAAGTCCCCTCGCCTGCCTCTGGGGTCCTTCCCCCAGGACAATCCCTGTCACTCGCCACCATGAACCGTGACAGTGTAGACCTGGGCCACCCCACCCTCTCCTGCACCTTCCTCCCTCTCCTGGGCAAGCTTGGAAACCCCTGGGTGCTAAGCAGGGCCCGGCCGGATGCCCAGACACCGCCCATGGCCATGCCCAACATCCCCTGGGTCTCCTGCTCAGCGCCTGACACCTCTTGTGGCAGCAGTGCCTTGAGGACCCGAAGACTGGCTGCTGGCCTGCTTCCCTCCCAAAGCCTGTGTTGCCCCAGACCCCCGGACCAGGGGACTGCTCACACACACACTCCCCTGCAAGACCCCCGTCCCATCACCGGTGACACCACTCTCCCCTGGTGGCTTCCGTCGGCAGGGGGACCGCAGCACCCCTCCCCTCGTCCTGGGGGGTCGCCTGGCAGACGAAGAGTGGCATCAGAGACCCAGCTCCGGAGCAAACACTCCTGCCTCGAGGGCACTTCTGGTCCTGTTAATGTTCACCCTGCCCAGCTCTGCCAGTTGTGCCCGGGGACGATATAAGCAGCCCTGGGCAGCCACGGCCACACTGGCCACGGCGACGCTGTCCCTCTGCAGCTGACCAGGACGGAGCAGGCCACCATGGAGAGGCTGCTGCTGACCACCCTGCTGCTGCCCCTGCTGGCAGTGGACTCGGCGACTTCAAGTGGGTGCTGAGGTGGGGAGGGGCAGCGCTGGGTTCTGCTGCTGCTGCTGCTGCTGCTGCTGGGGGCGGTGGGACCCCTCAAGCCCTCGCTCACCTCTGACTGAGCAGCTAACACGGGAACTGCCATTGTGCCTGACCCCTGCTGGGTCAGGGCCAGGAGCACTCACCCTCCCGGGGAGCACTCACCCTCTGCAGGAGCACTCACCCTCCTTGTGAGCACTCTCTGGAGTAAGCCAAGTCAGGATTGAGAGCACTCACCCTCCTAGGGAAGACTTTCCCCCAGGGACTTCATATGCAGCTTCTTCTCTCATGGCTCTCAGAGGACGCCCCCGTGCTCAGCGATTCCAGGCTTAGATGAGCCCCTCAGGACCAGAGTCCAGGCAGTGTGCAGGGAGGAGAGGGTGTGGGGTGCAGGCCAGGGCTCGGGGGCGCTACATGGCACCTCTGCTCGTCTCCTGCAGACCTGGAGGGGCAGTCGCTCCTCTTCCCCTGGGAGTCGGCCACCGACTACGTGTTGCTGACGCCACAACAGCAGAAGCCGCTGCACAACTTCACGCTCTGCATGAAGGCCTTCTCCGACCTCACGCGTGGCTACAGCCTCCTCTCTTACGCAACCAGATCCCATAGCAACGCGCTGCTGCTGCACGTGAATAGGCCGGGCGAGTTCTCCCTGTCCATCGGCGACTCCGAGATCGTCTTCAGGACCCCCCAGTCCTGGCAGGGCCCCTCCCACGTTTGTGTCTCCTGGGAATCTGCCACTGGCATTGCCACCCTCTGGATGAACGGGTGGATCCTGGGGAGGAAAGGCGTTAACAAAGGCTATGTCCTGGAAGGGGAGGCCAGTATCATCCTGGGGCAGGACCAGGACTCATTCGGGGGCGGCTTCGAAGCGAAACAGTCCCTGGTGGGGGAGGTGTGGGATGTGCGCCTCTGGGACAGGGTTATGAACATAACAGACGTGTTGTTTACCCACGAAAACAGCAACCTTCTCGACTGGCACTCGCTCACCTTCCGGTCCTTCGGCGACGTGGTGATCAAGCCCAAGCTTTGGCTTTAGACCCCACCCCACCCCAGCCCCCTCTTCCAAATTAAACGCATCTGCCTACCTGCTTTCTGTGTCTGCTAACTTGGCACCCACGGTGCTTTCAAAAGGTGAAGGGCAGGGGACTGGGGAACAGGAGAGCAGGGAGGGCACTTGTCCTGCACGCGGCTGACCGGGTTCGATTCCCAGCATCCCATATGTTTCCATGAGCACCGCCAGAGGGAATTCCTGAGTGCAGAGCCAGGAACAACCCCTGAGCACCGCTAGGTGTGACCCCGAAAAAAAATAAATAAATAGAAATTGAAAACTCAAAAAGGAGGAAGGATGAACATATGGGAGTCTCAGGCTCAATCCTGGCCCGGCTTGGTCTGGGGTCCTTCTGCAAGAGCACTGAGCCAGCAGCAATGCTGAGCACTGGTAAGTGTCGCCCTAAAGCCAGAAGCCAGCAAGGGTCATGCAGCCGCAGGGGCGGGAAGCTCGCTGGCCCTCGTGACATCTCGTGTCGTGGCTGAGGCTTCATCATCCCACAGCCTGTTCCTGGAAGAGCACCCCAGCCTAGACTCCCCCCACCAAGCTGATCCTCTCGGGAGCAGAGGCTGGACCGCTCCAGTCAGAGGTCCCCCAAAAGTACCACCCAGCGGTCGGGGGGCCTGACTCCCAGCCATCGCAGCACAGCCCTGAAGCAAGTCCCAGGATGGAGGAGGGGACAGGGCACCACCTCTGCCCCTCCTCTCGTAGGCTCCACACAAGCTGCCTGCAAAGGGGCTGCCCCCACAGAAAGAGTCAGCTCCTGGTGTGCATGAGGCCAGGAGGGGCCCTGGAGAGATCAGGGGGTTGGCCTAGGGGGACAGGTCCCCAAGAGGCTCCGCCCTTATCAGAGGCTCAGGCTTGATCCCCCAGATAAAGGCTGAGCTTCCTCCTTTCTGCGCCTCGTTGCCTTCGGCGTGGACGTGGGGGGCAGTGGCTCGAGGCAGCAGCTCCGGCCATGGACACACACAATCTGCTCATCCCGGCACTGCTGCTCCTCTGTGAGTTTTGGGCACCCTTCCCCCGAGAGCTCGGGGCTGAGAGGGATGTTCAGGGGTGACTTTGCCAGGCACGTGGGAGTGTGGGGACCAGATCCTGGAGGACTGTGCTCAAGGCAGGGAGGGGCAGTGAGGGGAGAGACTGAAGCTCCCAGGGATGTTGCCTGCCTCCCAGGGCCCGGCAGGTGGACACACTGACCCTCTCTTCATTTTGCAGGCGTGGGAAGCATGGCAGCAGGTGACTCTCCAGACCAGCAGTGTGTCTGCCCTTATGTCCCCCCTGCCTCAGTGGCCCAGGCCAGTGGCCTGCTCCTGTCCTCGTCCCCCCACACACAAGCGTCTTGCACCCTCCATTCCTCCATCCGCCACATCTGCTGAACATGGAGCATCTCTGTCTGCGAGTTCTCACCCTTCCCTGTCACTTTTGTCCCGTGGATGGTGCTGGCCCAGCCCGGGTGACTGGAGGTCTCAGCCACTGTGACCTGGACCGGGCTGTCCCCTCGCCCGCCTCTGGGGTCCCTCCCCCCAGGACAAACCCGTCACTCACCACCATGAGCCGTGACAGTGTAGAGCTGGGCCACCCCACCCTCTCCTGCACCTTCCTCCCTCTCCTGGGCGAGCTTGGCAACCCCTGGGTGCTGAGCAGGGGACGGCCGGGAGCCCAGACACCACCCATAGCCATTCCCACTCGTCCCCCGGTTCTCACGCTCAGCTCCCTGACCGCCTCTGTGGCAGCTCCTGGCTATGGCAAGGTCCTGCCACCTTCTCTCTGGGGGCGTGTCCCTGGCCAGGGCAGTGCACGCCAGGGAACGTGGACAAAGTTTCTCACTCTGCATTGTCTGTTTCTCTCCATGATCAGATCGACTTCAAGTTACCCTGAAACCGAGCGTCTCCCTGAGCCCCCAGTGGAGCAGAATATTCCGGGGCGAGAACGTGATCCTCACCTGTCAACACGAGAACGGTTCCCTGATGGCCGGCACCACCAACTGGACACACAACAGCCACCCACTGAATGAAAGCACGTCCAGTCTGAACATCACGAGTGCCAGAGAGCTGGACAGTGGCGAGTACAGGTGTCAGGGTGAGGACTCAGAGCCCAGTGACCCCGTGCGCCTGGGAGTCTTCAGCGGTGAGTCTGGGCTCGGACCCACAAAGCGTCCACGGGCAGCCGGCTATCCCCATGTGCTCCGGGAGGCAAAGACTCCGCCCTACCTGCTGCCAGCCTCCACCCACCTATCTGCAGGTTTCCCGCCCCTTCTTCTATGCATGCGTGCAGAGGGCACTTCTGATACGACCCTCGTGTCTCTTTCGAGCTGGAGATGCCAGACATGGGTGCAGGCACATGACTTGCATGAGTCTGACCCGAGTTGGAAACATGGTCTGCTCCCAGCACCACTGAGTGTGGACCCAAGCCAAAACACGAAAAATGTTACAGTCACTGTCACTTTTCTCCCATTGTTCATCAATTTGCTCGAGCGGGCCCAGTAACATTGTGAGACTTGTTGTTACTCTGTTTGGATATCAAATACGTCATGGCTTTGCCAAGCGGGGGAGATACTAATAATATATATCCATATATATTTATATATATATATATATATATATATATATCTTTGGAGTCATACCCACCAGTGTACAGGAGTTACTCCTGGTTCATGCACTCGGGAATTACTCCTGGCAGTGCTCAGAGGACACTATGGGATGCCGGGAATCGAACCCAGGTCAAACGCGTGCAAGGTAAACATCCTACCTGCTGTGCTATTGCTCCAGCCCACTAATAATATTTTTTGAAAATCAGACTCCCGCTCAAAAGCATAGGCAAAGGGACTCGGCTTTTTCTGTGGTAGCTACATCATGTCTTTTTTGACCCTGAAAAAAGCCTTGGGAAGGCTCGAGCAAGTTTCCTGTTTTTAATCCCAGTGAGAAGGAACTTCACCCACGCACACACTCTGACCTACTAATTCTAGAGCAACGCAGAGTCAATTCTAGACACAGCCCCCTGATGCCAGCTTGTGCTTCTCCCCAAGGCAGGGGGGGTCTCTCCTGGACATGCTGGGCTGGAAGCTCAGGCACCACTGGCCCAGTGACCTCCTCAGGGAGGGAGGGTTTCAACGCAGAGAAGACGGGCCTCAGTTTCCTTCTTTCTGGTTCAGCCTGGTGACATGGCTCTCTGCCTCCCTCTATCTCTCTGTCGGCCTTGGGGACCCGCAGACTGGCTGCTGCTCCAGGCTACCGCCGAGGACCTGACGGAGGGCGACCCACTCATCCTGCAGTACCACAACTGGAAGAACTGGAGAGTGGACAAGGTCACCTTCTATAAGGACAACGTGTCCCTCAAGTACTGGTACGAGAACCACAACATCTCCTTGGACAGAATCACCCTGAATGACAATGGCAGCTACCACTGCGTGGGTTGGGTCTGCAAGGTGGAGAAGGTGTCAGAGCCGGTGCTCATTCTCGTGCACATGGGTAAGTGTGCAGTGGGCTGGGCCCCGGGGCCCAGCGGGCACAGCAGGAGAGAGACAAAGCCTCCAGCACCTCCTCCAGTCAGTGTGCCCCAGACTCAGTCCTGAGTCACTGCGGGCATCTAGTGCTGGGCCTGAGGGCCGGAGGGCTGGACAGTGGGGGTCTGGGAGTCAGGTTGAGCCCAAAGGCTGGATGAAGAGGTCTGGGTGTCCAGGCTGGGCCCAAGGGCTGGACAGTGGGAGTCTGGGCTGGAGAGTTGGACAGTGGGGGTCCGAGCATCCAGGCTGGGTGCTAGAGCTGGACAGTGGGGGTCTGGGCGTCCAGGCTGCTTTCAGAGTACTGGGTTCATTGGTGGGGTCTGGGTGTCAACTCTCTTCAGCCCAGTGGGAATTACATCAGGAGGGCTGGTGTCTGTACGGCTCTGCCACATTGTCTGTGATGGAACATTCTGGAATCATCGCAAAGTTCAGCACCGGCCATCTGGTCATGGTGGGCGCCAGGCTGTTGCAAAAGGCTGCAGGTCAAAATGACATCTGCCATCCACAGAAGCCAAGGCCACAGCAGGCCAGGGCCATGAGGGGAGCAGGTCAGTGAGAGGCGAGCCCTGCTGGTCTGGACCAGGATGCAGAGGGACGGCCAATGGCCTAGGTGGTCTTGCTCCTTGAGCTGTGCCACCCCAAGGGGAGACGGCACTGAGCTCATGGAGCGGGTGCCTCTGTCCCCTCCCACCCCGCAGCCTCTGACACCAGCTGGACAGGGCCACGTGGACCTTTGGGACATTCTATGAGGATCAGCACAAGGAGCCCACAAGCGTGGACTGTGCTCTCAGTGTTTCGGCCCCCAAGCCCGGGGCCCTGGAGGGATTAGGGGGTCCGGGCCAACACAGCCCCTCACACTGGCTCCTTCTCATTCTCCGACCTGCAGCTCCCCATAGCATGCTGCCCTGGCTGCGGCTATTGGTCCCCGCCCTGCTGCTGATCATGTTTGCCGTGGACTCAGTCCTGTTCGTCCTCACCCGGCAGGATCTCGCGATGCTGCAGAGAACACTGAGAGGAAGGAAGGGCAGAACCACGAGCTTGTACTCACAGCCCAGGACAGAGCCTGGCAACCGCTGATGCCTCCCGGCTCAGCCAAGGTCCCTGCTGACTCGTGCCAGGTGCTCGGGGACCTGGTTTTTGCTCAGACCACCAGAGGCATCTGCTCGGCATGTGGTCCCTGGGCTCAGCGGCCAGTAAATGTCATAAAGGGAGGAAATCCGGGGTCACAGGTACTGGGAAATGTGTCCTGATGGAGGGACGGGTGTTGGAAACCCTTAGAATGGAAACTCAACCATGAGCAGCTTTGTAAGGGTCTATCTCACAGTGGTTCAATTTTACAAAAATGAAATTAAGAAAATTAAGAAAAAAATAAATAAAATTAAGAAAAAAAAAACATTGGAGCTAGAATGAAAGCACAGCGGGTAGGGAGTTTGCATTGCATGTGGCCTACCCAGGTGTGATCCCCAGCATCCCATAGGGTACCCCAGGCACCGCCAGGAGTAATTCCTGACTGCATGAGCCAAGAGTAACCCCTGTGCATCGCCGGGTGTGACTCAAAAAAAGCAAAACAAAAAGCAAACAAACAATAAATAGAAAAATAAATACATGTCACTGAGCGACACAAGATGTGAAGACTCCTTCACCAGCCATGGGGGAGACGGGGAATCTGAGTACCACTGCCCACTGGTGAGGGGTTGTGTAGGAGGCACGCGGATTGTGGCTGGCTGCAAGCTCACAGGCGTCTTCCGGGATCTGAGATTCTACCCGAGGAGGCCTGAGAGGAAATCTCAGAAGAGGAGGCTGGAGACGCAGTGGCTCCGTCAAAAATCCTTTATTTAAAGCCAGCTCCCAGACGGCACCCCAAAGCCGGCATGTAACCCACACCCCGAGGCTCCTCACTTCGGCCTGAGGGGGGACGGCCCGCTCCTCCCGCAGGAAGGGGGCGCTGCTCTGGCTGCTCACCCCACCCCCCACACAGGCCTGAAAGGGGCTCTGTCCGCAGGGTGCACCCCTGCCCACAGCCCCCAGGTGGGCGTGCGCACCTGCCACTCCATCTGTGCCGGGGGTCTGCACAGTTCCACAGACTGAGAGGTTCCCAGGCGGCTCCCCAGGGCCACCCTGTTCTGATTCAGCTCTTGGTGAGAAAACGGGATAATGACCACTGCTTTTGCCTCTTGTGCCCATAGCTCTGATGCCAGCAAACAAGGCGTCTGGGTGGGCACAGAGAAGCTCAGCTCAGGGGGACCTTGGGGTGAGTCAGCCCAGCCGAGTCAGCTGTTTCAGAGCTGCGAGAGCCGAGGTGATGAGGATCCACATCAGGTCAGGGGTGGTAGTGGTGGGGATGGTATGGGTAGGGGTGTCTGGGAAGGGTGGCAGGGACGGGGATGGGAGACGCAGGGCCGGTAGGAATTGGGGTAGTTTGAACAGGAATAGGAGGGACAGGGGTGGTGCAGGGTGGTCTCAGCAGCGCATGCTGGGTCTAGTCCCTGAACCATGTGGCCCTGGGGCTCTGCACTGCTCCCTGCAGTCTGGTGAGGCCCCAGCCAGGGGTCTGCAGCCCTGTAAGCAGCTGAGCAAAGGCTGGGTGGTCAGTCAGACTGCGGCTTCCGGCCGGTGACCATCCTTGACCTCCTTGTTCCGCAGGCTGTACACCACGGGGTTCAGCAGTGGCGTGATGACCGTGTAGGTCATCGACACCAGGGGCGTGCACGAGCCCCCCACCCTGGAGGCAGGAAGATAGCGGCTGGGGAGGGGGTTGGGGGCCGGGAACGTCAGGGGACAGTTACCCGGTCATGGATCCGGAGCACACGAGCTGGCTCTACCCCACGCCTCGGTCACTGGCCCAGCTCCCGGATCCAGGAGGCGAGACTCTGAGAACACATGGGACACTCGGACCCTTTCCCTGACCACCACCTCCCCAGCACGCCTGCCTGCACCCCAGGGCTCTGCCCCACTCCGGGAGGTCTCTCTGCTGTGTCCCCTAGAACCCCTCAACCTTGCGCCAGCCCAGGAAGTAAAGCCGGGAAAAGTTCTGTGAGCACAACCCACTGAGTCACCACCCCAGGGAGACGAGGCAAGCTTTAGGGGAGCTCAGGATCACTCTGCCAGGGCATGGACCCTCAGACTAGGCAGGGACAGGGGGTTGTTTGTGTTTTGTTTTTTACGATTTGGTGTTATTGTCACTTTGGGTCACCCCAGGCAATGTACAGGGCTGACTGCTGGCACTGCTTCTCCAGCTTTAAAATGTTTTATTTTAAAAAACATGCTTTCAAACAGAAATGGATAATTTTCTCAAAAAAAAAAAGAAAGAAAGTACAGACAGTGATTTTTGTCCTACTTCATTTTGGCAGACTAGTTCGACCCTGAGATTTTATCAGTCTCTCTTTCCTCATCCTTCTTTTTTTATCTATTTTTTTATTTTTGAAAAAAATTATTTATTTATTGAATCACTCTGGGAAAAGTTACAATGTTTTCAGGTTTAAGTCTCGGTCATGAAATCATCAAACACATTTCCCTTCACCAGTACTTATTTTTCACCACCAAGAACCCCAATATACCGCCCCTCCCAACACTCCCAATGCCTGTGACGCAGATGAATTCTAGTCAACACTCTAGCTACTTTGATTAGATTCACTGTTTCGACAAAAGATGCACCACTATTATTTACAGTTTACACCCCAAAATCAGACCAACTGCAAAGGCATTGTGAAATAATTTGTTTTCTACAGCTGGTTACAAGAAGCAGATGATGTCATGTGGCCACTGTTGCGGCCGCGCAATTTTGCATTTCTGATATTTTACTTATTAAGCTTTGAAGCATTTCTGCTGACAGTCAGATAATTATAAAATCGGTCTCCGTGACTCTAGAGCCATAGCCATGCTGTGGAGCCACTCGGAGGGGGCAACTTGTGACCTCGGTAGGGCGTGAAAGATGAGCCGGGAACATCCCCCTTCCCATGAGGTTTCAGTCGCCCTGTCATGACAGGCTTGTACCTGGATTTCCAAAAAGCTCCAAAGCGGCTGCCTCATTGCTGTCCAGAAGGAAAAAGGCAGAAGGGAGAAACAACCATTCCCTTCCGGTCAGGCATGGTGGCATGGATCAACGCATGCCATTCACTTTTCTGCCGCAAGCTGCCGGGCTCTGCATTAAGTCCCTGTGGTTCTGGAGCCATGGCATGCCTGAGAGCCACTCGTAGGGGGCAACTCGTGACCTTGGTAAGTGTGAAGGATGAGCCGGGAACGCCCCCTTCCCACCTCATCCTTCTTAATGCTTCCGTATTGGTGGTTCTTTCAGAGTCAGGGGAATGAGACCCATTGTATTTACTGGTTTTGGCATATTGAATACACAACAGATAGCTTGCCATGCTCTGCCGTGTGGGCGGAAAACTCCCGGTAGCTTGCGAGACTCTCCGAGAGGGATTGAGGCTTTTAGAGTGGCCTCTAATTGTCCTTGCAGGTGTTCCCATGGTTCAAACCATATTTGAACCTCATCAAAATGGTGCGGTAATCTGGTATTAACTATTTTATGATGTGTTGTGTGGCTGCTTTGTGGCCACGTGGTCCAGAAAGCATCCTAGCGCGTGGAATTGACTGGGTAGTGGAGGTAGTGGAGGTCTGCTGGGCTGCTGGAAGCAGGCAGAGGGTCTCTGCTCCCGGGGTGAGCTGAGTCTGGTGTCCAAGGTCAGAGTGTTCCATTTTGCCGGCTCTGTGGGGCTTCACCCATGCATGAGTCTTGGCCTGAGGGTCCAGAAAGAGTCCTGGAGCGTGGCGTCAGCTGGATGCCACCAACATTTTTTTCAATCTTATTATTTTTCTTTTTTAAAATTGAATCACTGTGAGATAGACCCCAACAAAGCTGCTCATGTTTGGGTTTCAATCCTACGGGTTCTAACACCTGTCCCTCCACCAGGGCACATTTCCCAGCACCTGTGATCCCAGGTTTCCTCCCTGAATGACATTTACTGGCCGCTGAGCCCAGGGACAGTGATTTTAATGTCAAGATAGGACCGAGAAGATCAGCTGAAGAACTTCACATCGGAACCCATGGCCTAGAATGGAACGAACAGGGTGAGAGACTGTCTGAGTTCATCATGTCGACCAAGACCATCCATGGTAATTCACAGTTCCAGAAGGCTGAATCTAAACGTTGGACATGGGAGTCTCCCAGTGGACGATTCCACAACGAAATAGACCACATCAATTGACGGTTTTGCCTGACCGATGTCGCTGTTGTCCCAAAATTCCGAACAGGATCAGACCACCGTCTCCTTCGTGCAAAATTCTACTTCACAGAACGGGGAGAAAGGGCTGCAAAGTTTAAAAAGAGAACTCCCAGAATGACCACCAACTGGGAGCTCTTTAGCACTATTGCGGCAACATGGGAAGATGCCATTGTTGACAACATTGACGAGGAATACAATCGACTGGTTCAGCACCTCCATGATTGTGCGAGGAACGCCAAGAGAGAGATAGCCACAAAAAAACGCCTGTCTTCGAAAACTCTTGAGCTTATTCGTCAACGTGGTTTGGCACATGCCTCAGGCAACCGCAAGCTAACGTCCGAGCTCGCAAAGCAGTGCAGAGATGTGATGAAGGAAGACCTCAAAGAGAGAAGAGCAGAAGTGCTGGTAGATGCGGCAGAAGCCAGGAAAAGTATTCGTAATGCCCGCCTGTCCTTCACCAACTACAAGACCAAGATGACTGCCCTCCGATGTCCTGATGGATCTATCACATCCTCCAGAATGGCAATGGAGAAGATTATCCATGACTTCTACTCAAATCTCTTCGATAGCCATGTCCACTTGCTGACATACCAAATTTCACAGGATGGATATGTCGTTCCCAACATTCTCCCTTCCGAAATCCGACACGCCATTTCGTCAGTAAAGAAACAAACAGCACCCGGCCCAGACAAGGTCAGACCTGAACACCTGAAGAACCTGCCGTCAGTACTCATCAATACTCTGGCTCAGCTCTTCACACGCCACCTGTCTGAATGCAAGGCTTCGTCCCAATAGAAAACCAGCAGGACCGTACTACTGTTCAAGAAGGGAGACATCCATGACATTGGCAACTAT